CGGATAAATCTCAAGCAATCCTCGACTACCCGATGCCACAACCTGTCCGAAGCCTACGCCGATTCCTCGGTATGATCAACTACTACGGCAGATTTATTCCCAACTGTGCTGATTTGCTTCGCCCGCTTACCGGCTTATTGAAAGGAAACTCAAAGACGTTTACGATAACCCCAGAAGTTGAAGCCGCTTTCACGGCCGTTAAGCAGAAGTTCAGTGAGGTCACCTATCTCCATCACTTGAACACCACTGGGGACACTACACTTGTCCTTAAGACGGATGCTTCAAGTTCTGCTGTCGGTGCAGTTTGGCAACAGTTAGTTGATAACGAATTTCAACCACTGTCCTTTTTCTCACGGAAGCTTCAACCTGCTCAGGTCAGGTACAGCACCTTTGGTCGTGAACTGCTCGCCATGTACTTGGCAGTGAAACATTTCCGCCACCTTTTAGAAGGACGTCGTTTCATTCTCTTGACAGATCACAAGCCACTGGTGTATGCCTTCCGTTCTTCCTCAGACAGTTACTCACCCCGAGAAACGCCTCATCTGGACTATCTTTCACAGTTTTGTGTTGATGTTCGTTATATCGACGGTCCTAACAACGTTGTTGCCGATGCATTGTCCCGCGCTCATATGAATCAAATGTCATCGACACCCATCGATTTGGAGAGAATAGCGGCCGCCCAAAACGATGATCCCGAGCTTGTTCAACTTCGTTCAAACTCCTCATTGAAAGTTACCCAACTGCCCGTACTTAACTCTGACATAAGAGTTTACTGTGATCTTTCATCCGGTAAGCCTAGATCCTTTGTCCCACAATCATTTCGCCGAACCATTTTTGATCATTTTCACGGTTTTTCACACCCAAGTATCCGCTCCACCGTAAAACTCATTACCAACCGCTTCCTCTGGCCCAATATGCGTTCAGACATTAGACAGTGGGCTAAACATTGCTTTAGTTGCCAAACTAGTAAAGTGCATCGTCACACAGTCACCACCCCAGGTACATTTTCACTCCCTGACGCCCGTTTTAGACACGTGCACGTAGATATCGTTTGCCCTTTACCTCCTTCCAACGGTTTCACTCATCTTCTAACATGTGTTGACCGTTTTACCCGTTGGCCACAAGCTGTTCCCTTACGTGATACCTCTACCGAATATGTATCCCGTGCTTTTGTCGAGTATTGGATTTCTCTGTTTGGTGTTACATCCACCATCACTACCGACAGAGGGGCTCAGTTCAGTTCCACAGTGTTCCGCGATCTGAGTCGTTTATTAGGCTGTACTCACATGAGAACAACCGCGTACCACCCCGCTGCCAATGGCCTCGTCGAGCGCTTTCATCGACAATTAAAAGCTGCCATCATGGCTACTTCGTCCGACTCACGCTGGTCTGAGCGTCTACCTGCGATCCTCCTTGGTATACGCAATACAATCAAAGAGGACATTGGGTGCTGCCCTGCAGAACTCGTGTTCGGGACGACCCTCAGACTACCTGGGGAGATGGTACTGGACTCTCGCACCACCGGCCAACTAGACACCTTCTCGTACGCTGAACGCCTCAAACAGCATTTTCGATCCATCCGACCAACGTCTACGCGGCCTAACCTACGTAAACAACAAGTCCACCCCGATTTACACAAGTGTCCGTTTGTTTTCATCCGCGTCGACGCCGTCCGAAGACCTTTAACTCCGCCCTACGACGGCCCGTTCCAGGTCTTGTCACGGAAACCCAAGTATTTCGTATTGAATAAGAATGGATCAAAAGAATCCGTGAGCATCGACCGACTCAAGCCAGCTTACGTCGAAACTACAGTCGATAGTAAAGACCCCGTTTCCTCCCCTCAGCATACCCCCGCCCCTGACTCATTACCCCCTACCCAACGACACACTGACGCCAGTACATTGAGTCCTCCGTGCCCTACGACTACACGCAGCTCCAAACACACACGTTCTGGTCGTGTTGTTTCCTTTCCACATAAGCTTGCTCAATACGTTTCGAAGGCACTTGTCGAGCGTTTTCTTAGTGCACGCTCTAGGAGGGGAGTACTGTAGCCATTGTAAATATTTTGTTTATTTTTCATTTTCACGTTTACCTATTTCGCTGCAGTTGTTGTACTGCTTTGTTTTAATTAACTGTAAATACACACACTTTGTTACGGGCTCGTCTTCCGTGGTTCTTCCTTCGTTGCCGCTGGGTTGTTGTGATTGTGCGCGTCGCTGCCTGCTTGGATCACGATCGGACTCTACGTACACGTACATTTCGGCATACCTCGGGATTTACGGCCGTCCGACGCTAAGGTGCATCAGGATACTTTATATGTGAGGTAAACCTGACTGACTTGGTATTCTTTTTACCGGTTCCTCCATACCTCCAGTGAAAAGACAAATTTGAGAAGGTCAAATGTGATGGAGATCATTTACTGCATCTGTAACTGCGTTACATTCTTGGAGGTTCAAATCATCAAAACGTCACTGCCCTCATCCGCGAGCGAACCGTGAAG